CTTACATATTAAAGGAAACAAAAAAAAAACTTTTATCTTACCAAAAAAGAAAAGAAGACAATGCTATTTAATTACTTAGTTTTAGGTGTTACGCATGTGAAATGATTCATACTAACTAGTAAGATATTGTTCGTTTTAATTAGCTGATTTTACAATTTTATTTCATATAAGATGTTCACAGATTGAACATAATGTGAACTCTTAAATAAATACCCAATCTTATTTTAGTATACAATTGATGCAAAATTCATTGTTGACATTCTCTATTGATATAAAATTCATAACTTTTATTGAGACTATGACTTCCTCCATGATGTGGAATTAATAGCTTATTATCGAGACCATGACATCATCACCTACTCTAACCAGGATCTATTATCTTTAGTTATGCATTGCTAATACCACAAGAGACTGCTCTGATACTAATTGTCACGCTTCACACTATCTTAAAAGTTATTATCTGCTTTGCCTTGTTAGTCTTATGCTTTTTGTTTGAAAAAAAAAACACCTCACCCATGATGAAGTGAACCCATGATGAAGTGAACCCATAAACAAAAAAAGCTACATGTAAATATATCTAAAAAATAAATTAATTTTATACTTACGCTTCAATTCCAACCAACAGCTCTCACAACAAGAGTAAGCAGAGTGTTATAACCAATGTCTACAAAAACTTTTACCTTCTAAAAAAGATTGTCAATATTAACTTAAACAACGATTTTCTTGAAATAAATATTAAATCATAAGTTCCCCGAGAAGATGAAAGCCCATCTCTACCAATGACTTTCCTTCTACTCAGCTTCGATCCATCCTGCATGATAAGTGTATAAGGGATTGATTAAGAATAAATTACAAACTCTATCTCTCTACTTATTGGTTTAGGATGGGGTAAGGTGGGGGAGAATATCGATGGCTGCAGCTAGACTTATCAATATGGGTATGTCAGGCTCAGTCCAACCCAAGTTCTTGTTGGTTGAAAAAATATGAATTGGACCTAGTCAGCTCATTTTTATATGGGCTATTAAATCTTCAACCTAACTCACCCCTTGCTAGCCCACGAGTGAGGCTAGGTTAGCTCATTTTTTTCAAAAACAATTTATTTGTACTCCCTATCAATAAAACTATATCATGATTTAGTTCATAAATTAAATAATAAAAAATATTATAAATAAATAAATTACATTAATTATAAATAAGTAAATATATTACATCAAACATAAATAAAATTTTAATATTTAACATAATTACACAAACTACAATCCCATCAACATAACTACATAAGTACATAATTAAATATTTATAGACTTCAAGACTAATTTATGTTCTTTTCAATCTTCATCCTCAATCAAAACATTTGGGTCTTCTTTGGATAGCAATGATATCTCCAAGTCCTCATCATTATCATCTAATATTCATTGCCATAAAAGAAAAAGATATAGTAAGTTTGAATTTTAACTAAAATTATTAATTTAACAAGTAAAGGTTAAAAGACATTGAAATATATAAAATAAACAATACCATTGTCAGTTAAAGAAAAGCCATGCAACCAATTTTTTGTGTAGACAAGCATTTGAACATTTTCATGGCAGAGGGAACTTCTAAACTTGGTGAAAACATGACCACCGATACTAAAAGGATGCTACCGTAGTAATCAGAATGCTCAATACATCTCGTGCCATAATAGAAAGATCAAGAAAGCGCTTAGCATTGTCCTTTCAATAATTAAGCACATCCAAATCTTCAAACACTTTATAATCAAGATTTGTCTCATCTAGATAAACATTCAACTCAGACTTTCTAACAATAGAAATTGTTTCATTTTGAAACATTTTGAACTCCTACAATTTTTAAATACATAAACAAAAAAATTTATCAAAACATAAATAAAGTAATATAAATTCTAATGTAATAAGATTAAGGAAAGATATAAAACTTACACTAAAGATCTTTGATTCCTTGGGTTTAGTTCTCCCTCCGACTTGCTTAAGCAAATTACTTATTGAGTGAGAAGATGTACTTGATGCACGAGTGTTGCTTGCATATTGTTCAAAGAGCTCACACAACTTTGTCTTCATATTTTCTAACTTTTCATGACGAGTAGAAGTATCAATCATAGAATAGCAAAATTTTAAGAAATCAAGCTTCATCTTTGGGTCAAGAATAGCTCCAAAAGCAAGCACTACACTATAATCTTTCCAGTACTTGTCAAATTTCATTTTCATCCTTTGAGATATATTCTTGATAACCTTATCTTCATTATGCAAACTCTCATTTAAAATCGATTCAATTTTCCAAACTTGTATGAAATATAAGTTGGAAGTTGGATAAGATGAGCCAGATATTAAGTTTGTAGTCTTATAAAAAGATTCCAAGAATTTACAAATTGTCATTGCTCTCTCCCATTCCTTATCAAATGGATTATATTTATAAATTCTATCATGTTAGACATGTTAGACTAGGCAAAGGTAAATAGGAATCAACCATTGCCAATTAGCAAATTGCAATGAAGGCACACGTTACACGTTACTTTATTTTGAAGCAAAAGGGAATTCGCACAGAAGAAAGAGAGTTACAGGGAAGGAAAAAAGAGAAGAAAATTTTATCACCATAGCAGAGAGGAGTGATTAACATATACCAATTAGTTAATTTGTAAATGTCCAAATGATCTTTATGAATCACTTGTAATGTGCTTTAATTGATAGAAGAGAAGATAACAAGAATGGAAAAGATATATCTAGAAAGAAGTAAGTGATTTTAGCAAAAACAAAATATCTCTCTAGTTGTTTGAATTGCAAAGGAATGAATAAGGAGAGAAATGAGATAATTTTACAATAAATATAGACATATATAAAAAAGTGGTTAAGAAGAAAAATTGCAAGGGTTCTTATTTTTTTTTTAATCCTGAAAGTAATAATTTATTGAAATCTACAAACTTACAACAATCACCACAACAACAAAGGCTGAAATGAGAATGAAAAACACGAGCGACTCAATAAACTAAAAAATTTAAAGTTAAATATTGAAATGAGATTTTTTTATTTATTGAAATTAAAAAAAATAAATTTTATTGAAATTAACAGAAGAGTAAACGAGGAAAGAAGAATTCATAAATGAATATTATAAATTAAAAAAATTAGTTTTATATATAGAAAATAATAGTTATTAGATATCATTAAATATATATTATACTTAGTTGATTGAGATCAGGAAAATAGTTGAAAATTAATAATATTGTGAGAATTAAGAAGTAATAAAAAAATTAAGATTTAATAAATAAAGAAGTGAGTAAATATGTCATTTTATTAATTATGTTGACTTTTACATGTTTTTAATAGAAAATGAGATAAATAATTGAAAATTAATAGGAAGTAAAAATGAGAGAAAAAATGTTTATTAAGATAATATTTTAATAATTATTTTTAATTTTTTATATTTTTAATATAATTAATTATATTATTATAAAATGATGAGATTTATCTAAATTTAGGGTATGAAGTCATTGCTTTAGTGGCTTGACCCACCCTTCCACCAAAATCAAAATCAAATTCAAAGAAAAATAACTGAAAAAATCACGTACAAAACAAATTCTTGTTGATCTTGAAAGAGCTTTTAAAGTATACCCAAAATTCTAAAGAAAAAGAATATCTTATAAGGGATGTTTACTATTCGTAAAATAATTTACTAAGAAAATTTTTTTTTATGTAAAATATTTTATAAAAAATGATTCACCATCATGATGACAATTTATTCTTAAAAAAAAAAGACTTGTTAAGATTTGAACTCAAGACCTCTAACAAATAAATTAATATCTTTACCAATACACCTAAACTCTTGAATTTAATAATATCTTGTTTAATTTTTTTTTCTTTTTTTTCTTTCTTACTTTATTTTTTTATAAAATTTGATTGTTTTGGAACCTTCTTCTCTTTCTTTTTTTTTTTCTTTTTTCCTATAAAACTACATCATTTGAGAAGAAGATTTCAAAGGGTTTTTATGATTATGGTTTTTAAGAGTATAAAAAGGCTTTAAAACAACATAGTTTTATGAAAAAAAAGACAAAAAAAAAAAAAGAAAGAAGAAAGACGAAAAGAAATTCAAGCAAAATATTATTAAAAGTAAGACTTTAGTTGTGATGGTAAAGACACTATTTTATTTGATTTTGGGTTAAAATCTTAACAAGTGGTTCTTTTCAAGAATAAATTGTCATGTATTAGCATATAAGAGTGCCACATGGCAACCTTTTAACATGACATGTGGTAGCCTCTTGACGTGCTACATGGCAATCCATATCATAAGGTGACATGGCATTGCCACATCATCAACCCAACCTTAAAGTGTGATGTGGCGGTGCCATGTCACCCTTGTCACTACCACATTAGCTTCCAAAATCTTTTTTATATGTCATGTTAGCATCTTACGTCACGTTAGTGCCATGTCAATATCGTAATGATTAATTTGGACAGAAAATGTTAAAAGGATTAAATTGAAGTAATTTTCAAAATTAAAAAATTAAAATATTACGATTTTGAATAGAAAAACTAAATTGAAAAAAATACCTTAATACATGTACTTCTCAAATATTTTGATAAAATTTTTTTATTTAAATTTTATTTTCAATCATCTAAGCAACATTATATCTTAAAAATATATTTTTGAAAAAGCTTTTATGTTAAAACAAATGCACCCTAAGAAGCATCCTCAACAAAAATAAGGATCACGTTGTCAAAGGCACCAGGACCCTTACATCACTTGAGGAGGTGTGGTCTAGCAAATGCTTCTGCCAGCTTATTATTAAATGTTTATGGTTTTATTGTTAACTTCTTTTTAAATTTAAATGGACTTAAACTATAAAATTATAAATACATTTAGTATTTAATTAATATATGAAGTTTTATATATAATTTTATAGTTTATATTTGTAATTATTAAATCACTGATAAATTTAAATAAAAAATCTTTTATATATGCTTCAAAATTAAAGTTTAAAAAATGTAGTAATAACAAGTACGTGAGCATATTATAGTTTGATATGAAAAGGACGAAGAGCTTTCATTTTATGATACCAGCAAAGAATGTCTCCTGTGGGGTTGAGTTGTTGTAGCCGTTGGCTATCCCGCTTCAAAACCATTTATTCTCGAAGCACAGTCGTTTCATTCTCTTCCACAGCTACCACCACTACCCCACCTAACGAAAATGAGACGCCGTCGAGTCGACCGGCTCCGCCTCCGATCCGAGTCGCACTCACCGAGTCAGCAGGTCGAGGCGTGTTCGCCACTGGGAGAATCGGTGCCGGAGACACAATCCACAGTGCTAAACCCCTCGTATCTCATCCTTCTCTTTCTGCCATTAACACTGTCTGTTACTATTGCCTCAAAAAGATACAAACTTTTTCTGGGTCTCAACGTCAAGGCGTTTCCTTTTGCTGTGAAAAGTGCAAAGAAAGCTCTAAGGTTAAATGGTTTCTTTAATTTTTTTGTTTTCGTTTTTATATTGCCTTTAAAAAAAATGATAAATTGAGTTTGGCCAAGTCTTTTAAGTGAGGACACCCACCAAATGTTTGATCATTTAACTTCGAACCACTATAAATGAAGACAATTGGAATATTAAAGAGGCAACAAAAATAGTAATAAATCAAAGGGTACTTTATTTTGTTTTAAATACTGAAGTATGAAATTTACTGATTAGTTTTTTTTTTTTTGGTCTTATACTATTAATTTGTGGTTACTTCTCATTGGTTTTAGGTTTTTTATGATGTTGAGAAGAAAGCAGATTGGCTAGATTTTGATGATTATTGCAGGTAAGAAAGTTGGTTAGAGGCCTTTCACTAGAATGTCATTATAATTTTCTTGATTTATATCTGCACTATGTGCCTCATTTCTTTGTTCTTCCATGTTTTAGGATAGATTGAATAATCTGCCAATACTTACTTTGCAAGGTTTAGGTTGAGAAAATTTGAGGATATTAGGTTTATGGAAGACCTGGATTTGGTTTTAAGGATTTCAATAGTTAGCAAAATAGTGACATCTGATGGGGAGTGATTAGAGCAGTTTTCTTGTTGCGAATGGGATTAAAGAGGAAAACATAGAGATGACTGTGGATTGGTGTAAAGATGTTTAGCATTGGATAGAATTAGGGCTTTAGAGAGGAAGAGAGAGGGAAAGAAAGAGAAGGAAATTGGGGGGTGGGAGAGAGTGCAAGGCATTCAGGCCTTAATGTGTTCTTCATGCTTCTCTCAGAAAATTCAATGCCTTAAAATCCTTCATTTTTCATCCCAAAGCCCAACACAAAGAGGTTTCAGGCAGATTATTGAAATCTGCCACATGATCATTCCATGCAACAATCTATAATGTATGTGTGCTAAGTGCTACCATAAAGGAGCACCCAAGCATTTGGCTCATTGATCAGTGCATGATCTCCCTATTTAAAAGAATATGGGTTCAAATCCCCTTCCTATAAAAAAAAAAAGCTACTATAAAGGAAAAGAATTGCCTACTTGGCATCCTTTTGAGTATCCTACCATTAAAAGTTCTGTTGCTTAAAATGCAACAAAATGCACCATTGCAAGATCCTTTTTGAGGGCACATAGTTATACCTTTGATGATATATACTTTGAAGTACAAGTTTGATTAGGTTGGCACATAGTTAATATGTTTTTCATGCTGTTAGTTTTTTTTCTTTGAAAGAAAAAATCCATTTTACTCAAAGAAAAAAAATTCACTTTACTCAATGAAGAAATCCATTTAATTAAGTGATTAGACAATTAAATTTGCTTACTATTATGTTCTGTTGCTAGCCAAAGTGCAATGTGTTGTCATGTGCAGTCTATTTCTTTGTAAGTAGTATTTTCATTTCTTTTGTGCATTAGAACTGTGCTATTCATGCTGGATATAAACCCTAAAGCATTGCATGATATTTCGGAGCATTTACTTTCTTACTCCCAATTTCTCTTTGTTAAGGACTGAAGGTATGAAATATCCCCTTTTGGTCAAGCGGTTAGCTTGTATGGTCATATCAGGAGCTGCACAAGCCAACATTGTTGACATACTTCAACCAGCTAGCTTAACTCAAGAGATGATTTTAAAGGTGAAACCATTTTGGGTAATAGTGATTTTAGAACTTCCCCAAATGAGAAGCATATTAATGGCAGATCGCCTAGTATATAGCATATTTGGTAATCTGATTATAGTAGATTACACTGAGTAAAGTGGCTTTGGAAAAACTATTGTTGTTGCCTTCAAAAACAACCATGTTCTCCATGTCAATTTTTTTAAAATGTATGTGCTTCCTTTGCCTACATCTTTCAAGGAGATTCTGATCTTTACATCTGTCCTTCAATCTCAGAGGTATCCTGATTTCATTGTGCAAAAGAATTATTTTGTCTTCTCAGCCTTTTCATGATCAATACATACAAGATAACAGTTACTAGATATGCACTAATTCTTATATCCATGATGATAATTTCAGATGGAAGAGGGATTTCGTTTGCTACAGAGTGCTTTCTCAAAGGCAAATATTAGAAAAGAACATACATCTTGTATCCCCCACTTATAAGAAATTAATGATTATCTTTTCCTGTTTTCTTTGTAATGGTCCTATGGTGCCATGCTGGTTGTTTTCTGCGAAAATAGTTGTCTTTGACACCATAAAGTCTTAACCAAACAATGGTACACTGCTGTGCTTGCACGAATTCGCATCAATGCATTCCGTATTGACTTGGCTGGAGGAGTGTATGAAGATCTCCTTTCATTAGCTGCAGCCTCTGTAGAAGCTGAATCTGCAGTTGGAAATGCTATTTACATGCTTCCATCCTTCTACAATCATGATTGTGGTAAATTTTCTTGTTTATCTACTGGTAACTAGTGTCTTAAATGTGGTTCACTGTACATTTTTTCCCATATTCATTTCTGAAGAGCCTTCTTCTTCTTCTTCTTCTCTGACTTTTCCTTTTTATAAATTGTTTATTGATGGGGACAGATAATTTGTCAATGTAAGAAATACTTTGTCAACCATAACCTTGATTCTGCAAGTTGAATTTTATGTAATGTGGTTCTCTTAAATTTTACCACCTCAGCAGTTCAAACTAATCAGTATCCATGACCCTTCGAGGACCCAAGTTCAGAAATCTGCTTCCCATACTTGACTTTCAAAAAGGGAAAAAAGGCTTGTGGTCTTGAAAATGTAGATGAGGCTATGAAAATTGTAATGAAGCCACTTTAAATTGTTGATTAAAAATAAGTACCTTATATGTGCTATGAGGAATGGAATGAATTAATATTATCCCTGTGAGATAGATAATTGTGCTTTAAAGAAATAACAATATTGAATTACAGATCCCAACACACACATCGTATGGATAGAGAATGCTGATGCAAAATTGAAGGCGCTCCATGACATTGAGGAAGGTTCGTCTCTTCTGCTACTGGAAGAACTTTGGCTTACTTTATTATTGGCACCAAAAAATCACACGAAAGGTATCCTGAATTCCTGGTTCAATGAATGACATTTCTTCTTGGGAATCTTGTAGGTGAAGAGCTTCGGATATGCTATATTGATGCCAGTATGAGTTGTGATGCTAGACAAAGTATCTTGTCTCAAGGGTTTGGTTTCAAGTGCAATTGTCTGAGGTGCTTGTCTGGTGATTAAGGGGTGTATGATCTTTGCCTCTGACCTATTGACTGTTTTTGTGCTTGCTCAGTAAGCTTTATAAGGATGCACTCATATGTCTGTTGTTTCTTTGACAGTTGTAAGAGGTTAGGGTAAAGGAGGTACTCTGTATTTTGTGTGTTTGTACAAGGCTGCTTGTATTCAGAGAGTTTCTTAGATCCCTAATGCGAAAACATTTAAATGTATAATTGCATTCAAACAATGGGAAATAGTGGAACGTGAATTCAGATTTGGATGGGCTGTACATAATCCCTTTTTCGAATAAAGGTATACGTGCATTTGTGAGAGTCGAACCGGGGTCTATTGCTTGGAAGGCAATTATCCGAACGGTTTGTTTTTTTCGTGACATTGCTGCTACACTGCTAAAATACACTGCACATGAAAAAATTGTGGGGATCCTAATGTTGGTAGTTGTGATACTCCTTAAACAGCATGTTCAGAAAAGACCGACACATTAGATTTGTTGAGAAAATTTCATGCAGGCTGCTATAAATGAATTGAATGCCTTGTGTGGTCAGGTATCCTCATATGGGTATGGGCTTCAATTAAATTGCCAATAGCTACTATCCAGGATTTCAATACTATGAAAGAGTTGATTGGAATGAACTTTTGTTCGGCAGAACAGTGTAATTGTTTACCTTATTTACTGTCCATTTTATTTTGTGGGTTTGATATCTAGATGTCTTCTAAAAGGTTATAAAGGAGAAAAGCATAGAACTTGATTTGAAAAGTTATACTTGCAATGATTTTTGACAATCCTAGGCATACAAGGGGCTAAAAGCGAAATGGCTATGGGGTTAACCCATGCTTGCCTACTCACTCCAACCCCATTCTCCCACGCCCTTTCTTTCCCTACATTTTTTATATACAAACTATACCAAATAGTCAAGTGTAATTCACCCAAGACACATAATCAAAGAAGATCAAGAAAAAAGAAGTCCCCGCCATCTTAGCCCCTGATGAGAAGTGTGATTGTTGAAGGAAATGGCATGAGGAGAACCTTTGCATGAAAACTATCTTTAAATAAGATCGAATGAATATTAAAGTATACCTAATTCTCATCTCCTTCTCCCCTTAAATTCACCCCTTTCTTCTTGCTCTTTTTAAATACTCCTTTCAATCTCTTCTTATGATTCCAAACCAAACTATGTATCTTTCTTTTTGCTTTTTCTTATAGGCTACAGTTAGTTTACTAGTGCTAAGTTGTTAAGCCAAACCATTTTCTTTTAACTACCAAAAATGGTTTAGTTTGTTGATCATACTTTTCTTTCTTCTCAACTTCTTTTTTTTCTCCTTCGAACCGGATGGGGGCCTTGTTCCTCAATTCTTTCTCTGTTTCACCAAGCAAACTTGCAACAGTTTCCAATAATTGTGACTCATGGAGGAAGAAGAACATTTTTGTGCGTTGCCAAGGAAGTGGCAATGCCATAAAGACTAGTGGCGTTTCTTCAGTGTTGAGAGAAAGATCGAAAATGGTTAATGCTGATCGTGGTGCAACTGTTATGGACGCAGGAAGCTTCGTGATGTCACCAAATGGGAATAGTCAGGCAGATATTGCAGTTAAAGATTTGGTGCCTTATGGAGGTTCAACTACTTCTTTAGTGGAGCTGCAAGAGGGCATTGGCATTGTTAAGTTTCTTAGAGGGAAGGAGTTCTTCATTACCGGTTCAACTGGATTTCTTGCCAAAGGTATTTTCTTCTTTCTACTCATCACTTGCATTTTACGTCGATCATTAAGTTGACATTCTTAGTAGACAGTCTGTACGAAAATGCGTATCTTTTATTCTTTTCAATAAAGCATTGTTATTCATTCAAATCTTCTTGCTTTATTAATAATATGCAGTTCTTATTGAGAAGATTTTACGAACTGTGCCTGATGTTGGGAAGATATTTCTCTTGATCAAGGCCAAAAACAGAGAAGCTGCAATGGAAAGATTGAAGAGTGAAGTATGTTAAGTATAATTGTGCCGTTTGTTGTTTATGTTGATTGATTCTTATATCTTCCAACCCTTTTTCCTTGTATTGAATCAAATTTTAGTTTTTGTTTTGTTTTAGATCATAAATGCAGAGCTTTTCAAGTGTCTACAGCAATCGTATGGAAATAGTTACCAAAACTTCATGTTGAGCAAACTGGTCCCCGTGGTAGGAAATGTCTGTGAATCTGATCTTGGCTTGGATGGTGATTTAGCTGATATGATTGCAAAAGAAGTCGACATAATTGTGAATTCTGCAGCTAATACAACTTTCGATGAAAGGTTATGGCCTTTTAACTTATCTCTAAGATTGTTGAACTGTTAAGAATAAGATCAGTATGTATCATAGCAAATTTAATTAATCACTGTCATTATGGAGTTGCAGGTATGATGTTGCCATAGATATAAATACAAGAGGAGCATGCCACCTCATGGGTTTTGCCAAGAAGTGCCAGAAACTTAAACTCTTTTTGCAAGTATCAACAGGCAAGTATCAAAAGCAAAATATGAACACTCATGAGATTCGGGGAAATTTCTTCAAGAATAACTGATTCCTAGCTTAACTGGCATCTATCTAATTCTTGTACAATTTTTAGGTTCACTTTTGCATTTTTTGATTCCAGAAGCAACTTGTATATAAACTTAAGGACTTCTAGTATTTTGCGGTTGAGCAGATTTGTTCTTTTTAACGTGCAGCATATGTTAATGGCCAGAGACAAGGAAGAATTATGGAAAAGCCATTCGACATAGGAGATTGCATTGCAAGGGAAACTTTAATTTCTGAAACCACACCCAGATCCATACCTGAGTTAGATGTTGAAGATGAGTTAGTATTGGCTTTAAATTCCAAGAAAGGTTTTGATGACACTGAAGTGGCTCAGAAGATGAAAGAATTGGGTTTGGAAAGGTGACAATTCTCATTTTCTTCTTTCCATCCTCAGGCATTCATGTGGTTTAAGCTTGAGAAGGAGGAGAATAGATTATAAACATTTAGAATCATAGTACTCTTAATTTTATACACACTTTTCAGAAAGAGTAATACAAATAACTTCTTTTCTACATTTCCTCTGTGATTAATGTAATTTTCTGCACCACACAAAATGGAGGTTTTAATCGAGGTACTGACATGATCAACACATGATCAGAGCTAGAAAATACGGATGGCAAGACACGTATGTCTTCACGAAGGCTATGGGAGAAATGATGATCAATAATATGAGGGGAGAAATACCAGTGGTGATAATTCGACCCAGTGTTATTGAGAGCACTTGCAAGGAACCATTCCCTGGATGGATGGAGGGAAATAGGTATCTCTTGTTTTAACTTTTTGTATGATGAAATTATTTTTGACAAAATTTGAGATGCCCTTTTCTTTCTCTCACAGGATGATGGATCCAATAGTATTATGCTATGGGAAAGGGCAGCTAACAGGTTTCCTGGTTGATCCCAATGGAGTACTTGATGTTGTAAGTAATCATTGTCTAATTCATACATCAATATTGGTACTAGTGCTTGATGAATTAACATTCGAAAGTACATCCATTCCTCGTTTTAATTTCAATCTCATGAAGGCTTCTTGTTTTCTTACCATGACGGATTACAGGTTCCAGCAGACATGGTTGTCAATGCAACCTTGGCAGCCATCGCAAGACATGGAATGACCCCGAAACCAGATATTAACATCTATCACATTGCATCATCAGTTGTAAATCCATTGGTTTTCCAGGATTTAGCCAGACTACTCTACGAGCACTACAACTCCTCACCATTTCTTGACTCAAAGGGAAGCCCAATCCATGTTCCATCAATGAAGCTGTTCAACTCCATGGAGGATTTCTCTGCTCACCTCTGGAGAGATGCTACTCAGAGAACTGGACTGACAGCAGTAGCATCTTGGAGTGGGAAGCTGTCTCAGAAGCTTGAAACGATATGCAGGAAGTCAGTGGAGCAAGCAAAGTACTTGGCTAATATATATGAGCCATACACATTCTACGGTGGAAGGTAAGTTACATTCTCTGCTGGGCCATGGATTTTACTGTGCTTGTATCTTGTTGACTTCTATCTTGTGGAGTCAACATCTTTTATTTGTTTACTTGTTTCATCGTTGGAAAATAGAAACTGACAAAGATAAGTTTCAAATCAACGAATGTCAGGTTTGACAACAGCAACACTGAGAGACTAATGGAGATCATGTCCGAAGAAGAGAAGAGGAACTTTGGGTTTGATGTGGAAAGCATAGATTGGAAAGATTATATAAAAAATGTCCACATTCCTGGTTTAAGGAGGCATGTTATGAAGGGCAGAGGGATGTGTACATAAGTCAATTCATAGATATAGTAGCTAGATCTGATAAAAATTGTGTGCAATAAATGAATGCCTTTTCATTGTGTTACAAAAACCAAAGAAGGCAGAGAAGTCTTGCCTTCTTACTGGTGATGTAATTTAACCCTTAGAAGGGATCTATCAGCAAAGTTTATCTTATTTAAATCAATGTCGGTGATTTCTTATACAAGAAAATCCACTAGATTTATTAGTAAATGCAGGTCTAAGAGACTTTATTTCATTAAAACTAGTCTGATCATTCAACACTACTAGATTCACCATCAAGCAAAAATACTGAAATCATATTCATTTGTTGAAACCATGGAGCATAAGCTATGAAGGGCAGGATTTATATGTAATTAGTAAACTAAAGACTATGCTTTGTTAAATGCTGAAGTTTCTTTACCATTTACATAGTGGTTGGTGTTCTTCCAATCAGATTTTTCTGTATATTAAATAATATTTTGAGTAACTCATTAGTTTATTTAACAAAATTAAAGTTTTATAGCCCAAATATAAATCTAATGATTCAAACCGTACTTTCTTTCCCTTAAAGCACGTCTCTCTGCTTAATTTTCCAAGATTTCTTATTTCTTTCAAATCAAAAAATTGGAAGCCTTATATCATCAATGAAAACCAAAAGGATTATGGTAATTGGATTGATAATATGATTAAAAGAAATATTTTCTTTTGTTTTAGGTAGCGTTTGGTATCAGAGAAGCATGAGCATAGTCCTTGTTAATATGCTCAATTAAATTATATTGCAGTATTTGTTTTACAATAAACCACTATAATGTAATATTGCAATGCATGTACATTATAGCTAAATAATGTAATGTGATTACAGCCTAAAATTAATTTTTTCAGATTGTATTACACTTTGTAATGTTATTAATGATATTTTTGACCTTTAAACTTTGTTATTTTGTTAAAAACATTTTATAATGTTATAATTTTTTTATATAGATTTTGAAAATGTCTTTTTATTATTCTCAATAGTCATGGTAACTATTAATAGAATTTATATTGTGTTTTAAAAGAAAAAGAAATTAAAATAACATATATAATGTAGAAAATTATATTAAGAAATGAAAATAAAATCTATGAGTATAGTAAAAAATAAAAACAAAATATATGATATTAAAAATATATTTAAAAGATGATATTATATAATAATTAACAATAAAAAATATAAATATATTAAACATGTATTTTAATAAATAAGAATAATTTTGAAAATTTACATTACATTCTCAATAAAATATTTGTAAATCAAATACTGTAATGTTATCTTTCTTATATTTTAATCATTACTTTACTTATATATCAAATACTATAATATTATCTTCTATGTAATTATATTACATTGTAAAATACAAAATACCACCTTATATATATAACTTTTAAATTTTATAATTTTAAATAAGACCAATAGGATTCAAAGTGTCAACTGGCTTGCTCCTAATAAAGGCATGCATTCCATATGCTTCATTCCCTCGAGGATCACTTTGACCAATAGTAAACTTTTTTCCTTCAGCTGCCATAATGTCATAGGACGATTCCTCTTCACTGTTCTTCTCTTGCTTCTTTCTGCTACCACGAAACATCTTGTCTAGAGAATGAAGCTTCATAAGTGTCTGACATGGAACCTTCATTTTGCCCCCCTTGCACCTTGATTAAGTTTTTTTTATTTTTAAAGCAACATTGAAACAAAGAGACAAATTTTGTTAATCGATTTTTCAATTTTTTTCACTCTACTAAAAGATTGATTTTTGAAGGTCCCACCAACCATCCATCCATATGAATTCACCCAATAATTCTGTAACATTGTGAAAGGTATAAATATTACATACATGAACTAGAACCCGTAACTTGTATGGGAGTTAAAGCTTGCATTGACTTTAATATGTTGACTTATTTTGCATTTATTTTGTTGTGCTAGTTATTAAGGATGATATACCTATGTTTATGATGTATCTTAATGCACGTTTTGTTTAATACACTTGTCCTCTATGTAAACAGGTGTTAATCATGTGTAGTTTGTATAAATACAATACGTTTTATTGATGAATGCATGAACTTAGTTTACATCGACTCCTTTGCTCTGCTTTCTTTTTCTTTACGACAGTGCATATTATCCTACCGCCATTATCATCTTCTTTCAATTTCTTGACAACATGCAGTCCAAGTTCAACTGCCATGTGGAATATAATTTTTTGACCATACTTCAATATCTTCAAACTATTGTTGTAACCATACCCAGTTTTCTTTCTTCATTCCTTCAAATGGTTCTCTGTCTTGGAAAGAAATTAAGTAAAATTTACTTGAAATTCTTGAAATTCCTTCCCTTCTCATCTGCTTAGAGACAAAACCAGTTTCTATAAAACTTCAGCTCAAACCTACCACGCTGCTTTCAAGCCAGTGTAGCTTCTATTCTTCAACCACTCCTATACATCCCTTTCTAACTCCACCTCCTATACAGCCATCACTCCATTCTTCATTCATTTCATTAATTTCGTTTCCAATTAACGCCTATTTGCCGTTCTACAAGGGATTAGCTTCTTAATTGTTACCGGATATTTATAACTATATATAAAAGTAGCTCCCATTGTTACTATTCCAATTGACTTCAATTGGCCAATCATCGACTACAGTTGTCATTCAATTGGAAGGTCTGTTGAAATTTTTTCCTTCAATATATAAAAACGACGTGGTTTTGATTGTTTTGGTTATTAGTTTCAATTGACCAATCGTTGAATGACAATTGTCATTCCAGTGAAGAGTTGCCAGAATTTTTTTCCTAAATATGACGTCGTTTTCATTGCTTTGGTTATTGGCATCAATTGGCCAATCATTGAATGACAATCGTCATTCAAATGGAGGGTTGTCGGAATATTTTCCTTCAGTCTATAAAAATGACATTGTTTAATTGCTTTGGGTATATATATATATATATATATGTATATATATATGTATATGTGTATGTGTGTGTAAAATTTGCCGCATCTTTCAAAACGATGTCGTTTAAGGTTTAGGTTCCTTGCTTGAGGGAGAATCCCGCCATTTTTGTATCTGGCGTTTACTCTCCCTTGGTTTGTATTGTTTTTGTCTTTTCTGGGATTTGTGGGTTTGCGGCAAATCTGCCATTTTGGTTTTACCGTTATTTTCTTTTTTTTTTTTAAGTTCTCTGGATTGAACGGTTGATTTATAGGCAAGAAGAAGAGTAATCTTGATGGAAGGGTGAGGGATATGAGCGGTTAATTTTTGGAAAGATAATATAGAGATTGTTGAGAGAGGTTTTGATTTTTTCAGGGTAAGTGGGATGAACGGTTGTTTCTAGGCAAGAATAAGGGAAATCTTTGTTTGAGGAAAGAGGAGAGGATGCGTGAGTGCAAGGGGTTGGCTGGTACTTTTTGGTTGGTTTTTGATGGGTATTCCTATGTAAGGGACCCTATTGTCCTATTATTTGCCTTCCTTGGCATAACTTTTGGTGTTTTCCCACCAAGTGAATAAAATATTCCTATTGTGTGGTTATTTGTGTATTTGCTCTTTCTTTTTGTTCCAGAATACTTTTTGGTATATTGTGCTTTTTTCTCTTTTTCCTCATTCTTGTTTGTGTTCATCAATTTAGCAGGTTGTATTTTTTTTTTATGATTGTTGTTTTTTGTTTTATATTCAATTGATTTTGCCCAATTGTGGTTCGATATTGGTTGTTATTTTTTTATTTCTTGGTTGATGGTCTTCTGAGCTTGACAGGTTATACTCTCTGGCTTTTTTTTTTTAATTTTACTACTCTATTCTATTTTTATGGTTATTGAAACGATAATGGTATGTTTTGTTTCTTTACTTTGGTTTATTTTGTTTTTATACCTCTGGATGTTAAATATTAATGGCCCTTTCTTAACTTAATCAAAATAGTAATATTTATACATATATATATATATATATATATATATATATATATACACATAAAAGAGAATTCTTATTGCCACGCTGAGCGTGGCAACTGAGATGACTGTCATGGCAGTCAACCTTCTTTCTCCCCAAGACAAATCAAGGCCTCACCGTGTTTAGGTAAAACCCTTTATCTTTAAGATTCACCCTTTTCCTCCTTCCATAATTTGTGAGAAACAATAACAATAATTTTGAAATCTAAGGGTTAGACAGCAATCTGCCAAACCCAAGAACGCTGCCATTGGCAGCAACCACCAAGGCACTGCCAATGGCAGCAACCACCAAGGCACTGCCAATGGCAGCAAGCATGAGAAAAGGGTTTTCAAACACTCTTCCCTGCTTACGAAAGAGAAGATATTGAAAAGGAAAAAAAATAGGGATCTTTTAAGGAAAAAAAGAGAGGAGAGGAAACAAGAAACCCTAAATCACTGGAGAGTGAACCCTACAACAAAAAAATCCAACAACCATTCCACGTAAAGCCACAATAAGCAAAACCTAAAAACTCCAAAAAAAAAAATCAAAAACCACAATCCAAGCAAAAGAGAAGGAGACCAGCAAACTAAAATCAACCAAAAAGGAAAAAAAAAGGTCTGAAGGGTCACAACCAAGCCTCCTCGACTATGAAAGATTTTGGCTCCTAGGTTAAGGTTCTTTGGGGTCTTTCTTTGGCTAAAGGAGAGATCTTTGGGTTTAAGTGAAGAACGAAAGGTGACGGGCTCCAGAAATGGCGGAGGGAGGCTGCTACCAGTGGGTAAGGCTTTGGCTAGAGCTTCTTTTTAAGAGAGAAATTAAGAGAGGTTGACACTACTTGAGAGGGAAAAGGAAGACAAAAAAGATGGACTAGGGTTTTATTTTTAGTTTATATACCTATGTTAGCAATGTGAAGCACGTGTAGTTTAAGGAAGAAAAAAAAAAGAAAAAATCAAAGGAAAATAACAAGCATAGGAAGTGCTTTTCATTGTTGAAGAAAGAAGGAGAAGAAAAAGGAGAACCAGGCTCAGGCCAGCGTCAAGAAAAAGGACGAAACGGCCAAGGAGGCAGTGCGTCGCCAACCCTGTGCGGCCTATTTGATTTTGGAACTTGAGCCTGTTTGGTATGAATTTCACTGAAGTTTTTCATTCTTGCCTTGTGTATTTGGGCTTGAGTTTACTGTTTGTACATTTTTATGCTAGTTATTCAGTTTTTGTTACTTGTGTTAATTAGCAAATAATGTAAGAATGAAAATAAAATATATGTATTGAAAAATTATGCATAATATTATTATATTAATGTGTCAGGAAATTTTTTTTAAAAAAAGGCAGACATATAAAAGAGATATGATAAAATAAAAAATATAAAAATAAAATGTGTTGTTTGAGTTGAACTGATAATGGAATTTTTATCTGAGATGTGAAAAGTTGTAATCTTGGATTAATTTTCTTAGGTGAGAGACTAAAATTCTATCAAGGTTTTAGTTTTAAGTCTCAATATTTATTAATCCAAAAAATATTTAAAATTAATTAATAAAAAATATGGAATGTTGTTGGCTAGAAATAAAAAAAATAAAGATATTCAAGCTTAAAAACTATGTATATAGAATATTTGTGCTTTAAAATAAAACACATAATGGTATGAAACATATTATTTTGACTATACTAAAGATGGAATTTTTACTCAGGATGCAAGAAGTCGTAATTTCGAGTTAAGTTTCTTAGGTAAGGGATTTAATTTAAACTCCAGCAATATGATATGAGGGTTTTAATTTTAAATCTCAATGTTTTAATCTAAATATATATTTCATTAAAAATATTGATCAAAAGGATATTAATAAAATGAAAACAACCTAAAATAGAAATGAAATAAAAAAATAAAATGATAAATAATAATGAACATATGGTATAAATAACGATTAATACTCTAATTTATAGCTAGCCACACAATGTCATTATACTATTTAAATGTCATATCCTTTCTATATATTTTGTAAATGAGTCAAGGCCCGATGATGGGACTTTTCAAGAGGTTTGCAAAAGTAAGTTCTTTTGAAAAATTTCCTAAGTGAAAGAATATCTATAGGTCCTATCAGTATGATGGAGGAGTTCAAAGAATGTTCTTAATAGAAGGCCTTTACTTGTATTAGAATTTATATTCATGAAAATATTATTTTTACCTTCAAATGATTACCTCAATGATGGGATTTATTTGATAAGCTTGTGAAAGCAAGTTTTCTCAAGTAATTTCCTAAGAGAACAAGTATTCTCGGGTCCTACCATTATAATGGGTGAATTCGAGAAATATACTCAATAAAAGGTTATCATTTGACATTTATCGAGATTTATATCATATATTCCATAATTGCATCACATATACGTCACACAAATAAACCGAATAATGCACTTTAGGTCGTGAATAAACCAAAAATAATGTAACAAATAATGATTAAGGGAAGTGGGATAAAAATCAAGAATTAAGGAAAAGTAAGGATAACATATGATTAATTGGTATCGTTTTTTGACTAGGTATTATAAGGGTACTAATACCTTCCCTGCATGTTGCAGTACTCTCAAACCCAAATATTGTTCCATCGATCGGAGCTTAATTCATTAAAATGAATTTAGATAAAGCTTAAGGTAACATTTTAAAGAAATAAACTCAAGTAGGTGGCTAAATGTACCTCAATAAAAAATATTAGTGCTGATTTTATTTCACATTTAGCGATCTAGTTCCCAAACTTATACATTATGACAAAAGTTATTGGTAGAAGCTAAGTCTTCCTCTTCGCTCTTATCATTTTGGTGGCTCACAAAAGGCAGAAAACGTTCGTTAGAGGTAAAGAGGGGATCTAGCCAAATATGAAAATAATAAACCTTAGAAGCCTCTCATTAAAGGCTTATTGGGCCAAGACCTATAAAATCACTAAATCATACTAACCCAATAAGACGTGCAAAGCCTATCATCAATAGATCACTTTAATATTAATTGGATTCTCATGCTTTGTCTTATAATAAGACTAAATTATTAATTTATTTTATTAAATTGAAATTACTAATTAATAGTAGCTCATATAATAGAAAATTTCAACAATATATGCAGTCTGCTTATTTAATATATTCAATTAATATATTCAACATACCTTCACTTGTTTACTCTCAATTAATATATTCAAACAACTCTCTAATATATGGTATACCTTATACTTAGAGATGACAATTGGGTGGGTTTGGTTATTTAGGTTTGGATCATTTTGACTTCAAATGATCTTGGATTTGGTTTATATTGGATTTGAGCTGTTTCGAGTTTCAATTGATTTATGTTTAAGTTAGTCTAAGTTTATACTATTTCGGATTTGGATTATGTTGGATAAGTGATTTTATAGTTTTATCTATTAACTCATTGTTTGAGATTTTCACAATTCCATCTCCCACCGACTTGTGCCCCCTCAATTTTAGATTTCCTATTTCCTACCAATCAGTGCATCACATTGACTATCGCACCCCACAATAATTCCATCTTGATTTAGAGCCGCCAAGCATATTTCAGACAGAATATGCCCACATTACTATATTATTTTATTTTTAATATTTGAGTTAGCATTATATTAAAATTTAAATGTCAAATATTAATAGTAGTGAGTTTGCATATGATTATTTTTAGGATAAAATCAAATACCAAATTAACAATATCATTTTTGTAGTTAATTATTTTGGACAATAAAGGTTGCACCAAAAATAATTTGATATTTATATTTAAAATATCTTAAATTAATTTCATAATTCAATTCAAATATTCAACATTGAAAAGGTTGAAAATTCATTACTTATACTATGGTTTAATAATTATATTATTATAATTTTTTTCAAAAAAAAATTAAAGTTTTCATTAAAGAAAAAGGTTTATCACCTGTTCATATACTTATTTTACATAAAATTATTTAATTAGAGATCGAGTCTTTTTAGCTGATAAATTTAGATTTTTTTTTTTTTACAGATTTTGGATTAATCATATTTGAATCCTTACATGTTCTGATCGCTTCGGATTTAGGCTATTTCAAATTTGGTTCGGACTGTCTTGCGTTCAAATCACCTCAAGTTAGCATTGTCTTGAATTTAGATTTATTTGGGTTCAGTTATTTTAGGTTCGCGTTTAAACGGTTTTTTAGTCAATTCGGGTTGGACTGGGTTTTGTTTCAAGCTGGTTTGGGTAGGTTTTGGGATTCAGACAAATTTTATCACCTCAACTTATACTTTTGTGTATTAAAGAGCAGGGATAGAGGGGGAGACACTGTAAGTAATCCATATCGTACCTATAATGATAAAAGGTAAATGGCTCCTAAACTTTTGCCAGGTGCTTTGGTAGTTCCATAAACTTTCTCGTTTCGATTTTTCTCCGACGATTCCTATCAGAGCTGTTCGTTGTGGCTTCTCTCAAAAGGTGAGCATCAAATTCTTCCATTGAGGCAAAGATCTTCAATTTCTGAATGTTAATATGCTTGCCATTGGCACCAATACAGGGCGACATAACGTGTTGACAGAATAGTCGGAATAAATCCTGCGAAGTTAATGGGTTTGACATAGAAGAAGATACATGGTAGATGTTGATGTCTACTTTCCTTGTTACGCCATGCCTGACCATTGCTGCCAAGGTCGCATTAACAACCATGTCAACTGGTACCTGCATTTTCTCATGGTATTATTGGATAGCGTGCATCATGTTTGTGTCCTAGAGGCAATAAGCAATTAAATTACTAACAGGGGAGGAAGACAGGAATTGAGGAAATCATAATATATACTTACTATATCAATGACATTATCAGCATTCCCTGGAAAACCTGTCAGTTTCCCTTTCCCCTAGAATGAAACTATAGAATCAATTGAGCTGACAAAGAGAGAATTGGATATCTAGAAAGGTTAATTACATCAGAAAAATCTTGCAGTATATAAAGTAGTAATTTAATGGCTTGGGTAAAGGATACACACTTATGTCCTTCTATCCACCCTGGGAACGGTTCTTTGCAAGTGCCTTCAACTACAGGAGGTCGTATTATGACAACCGGTGTATTTTCTCGCATGGGGTCAATGATCATTTCTCCCATTGCCTTTGTAAACACATAAGCATTTGTCCATCCAAATTCTTTGGCCCTATTTAAATTAACCATTTGGAATTTTACTTACTTTTGCAATTGTACAATTGACTTTGCCCAAATCAGTTCTCGGATGCCTGTAAAGTCTCTTGCCTGAAAGGCTCAAGATTTGTCATGGCATTACTGATATTGGAAAAATAAAACCCATCTTTCAAAAAAAAAAATCAAAATCTTAAATAGATATTCAATTAATTTTTTCTGGTGTTGAGAAAAAATAAAAATAATTAGAAAAATTATAATTTATAGCACCTTAAGGATTGGGGGTAAGACAGATTAAACCTCAAATTTTAGGTGTTTCTGGCTCTTAAACAATTTAAATTTTCAGTGAAATTTTTTTGCATATATTAATTGAATTAAAGAAATTCCTCAAGTCCAATTTCAGTGCTATTTTTCTCCATACAAGTCTTAAGGTGCAAAAGTTAGTTCGAATGTGGCAGAAGTGAAGTGATTGGCCATGTTGTGGGGGAGGGAAAACGTAATGGCTCCCATGAGAGCCTTCATGGTTAAAGAAAAACCATCTTCGGTATTACTTCTACGATGGAAGTGACCAAGGGTCAGGTTGAGCTTCGGGTAGTTTTTAAGCCCAAGCTCAACACACACGATTATATTTTTATCAATAAAGAATAGATTTTTATTTAATTTTAATTTTAAGATATTAATTAAAATTACTATTTTAACATTGATAGCCATTGATTCCCTAAATGGGGCAATTGCTTGACATATGGCCGCTCTAATTGCTTGACACGTGGTTGCATAATTTGATTTAATTTTTGGGACATTGCTGGTGTTTTAGAAGAAATTGAGGCCATTTTTGGAATTAGACTTCTTCTTTTTAATTGATTGTTCATGTGTCATTGTCTTCGTCTCCTAATTTGAGTTGGGTTTGGGATTGGTTTGCGATTTTTTTTATTGTTTCTTAATTGCACGCTTTTAAAGTTTTTGTTAATGTCACGTAAGTGATGCTTTTCCTTCCAAGTTTTTTTGGACTTGGATGCAATGAGTTTTAATAATAAAATAATATGTGAATAGACAGATAAGGCTCAAGGTTGACTTTTAAAAGTGGGGCCTGATGAGTACCTCTAAATTCAAGTGATATTGGATAAATTATTGAAAAGCTTTCCACAATTTTTCTATCAATTCAGTTGGTTATTCAATTTAAAGGTTATTAAATTGAATTTTTGTTAATGAAAATTTGTTGAATGGTTTTATATTTGACTATTTCCCCTTACACTTTAGTTAGAATTTCCTTCTTAAATTGTATTTTTCTTGTAAGAAATTCAATTATACATTATTGTTAATTTAAATTTTCAGTTGCATATCATAGAAAACTCAGTGATTAAAAATTTTATTAATCACTTAATATTCAACATTTGATTTTTTCGTTTTTCTTTTTAATTTTCAATTTATCACTCAGGTAGTGAGTGAGATAAAGGCTAGGAAAACAAATTGTCATTATCTTATCTTTCTAAAAAAATATTTGGATTTGTTTTACCAAATTTTTTGCATATTTACTTTAAGAAATTATAATTTTAATATCAACATGTTTTCTAGGGAAATTATAATTTGAGATACAGTGCAAAAGGGGGCGAAACCATCACCTTTGTAAACCCAATTCCTTCGACTTTTTGGCAACTGCATTATTTGCAAAAGTTTTCTTACGTTCTGCAACCAGCTTCTTTTCATTCTCCGGTACAAATGCAGGAAGAAATCGTCCAGGGGATTTAGAGGAGAGACTTTCCCTTCCCATACTATTTTTCATGCATAACTTCTCCTCCATAATTATATTCTTCCCACTACAACATTTTGACCTTTTGCAGTCAGAGGTGAAAAATGTGCAGCCTTAGCCAATGTATGGAAAAGTATGGCTGCACTTTTTTATGGGATTCAACAGCAAAATTAAAGTGCAGCTATATACTATATGACTGCAATCTTAAATCATATGGTAGCATATAATTTTTCCCATGGTCTTTAGTCTATATTGATCACCCATGATAAGGCCTGATTTAGTTGAGTAATCTTTCTATAAATTTGAGGATGAATTTCCTTAAAGAGGAGAGAATGTAAACCTCCAATTTAGCATACAAGGGTAAAATGGGGAATTCACTTGGTGAGCTCATGGAACACTCTTTACCAACCCAAATATTCTTAGAATTTACCCTTAAGCTTACTAATTCAAGTCAAAAAAGGCATCTAAAGGACAAGGAAACAAGAAACTTAGCAAAGGAAAGCCAATTTTGTAATCTGCCCTAGAGGGATCGACCCTTTTTTAGTAGAGATCAACCCCCCATTGGCCTATCCAGCCTTTCATTTTGTTTGAGCTTTTTCATTCTTCTTTCTTCTTTTCACCTTCAACTCTTCCAATTCCTTCTCAAATTAGGCTAAATTGAAGCTCTAAAAGTTGAATCTAAGGTTAGATTAAGACTTTCCAACTTTTAATTTAATTAGTTTTGTTTTTGTCTCCAAGCTAAGGGTTTGTGGGGGAAATTCTCTCCAATAAGCTCACCAAGATAAGGACTCCCTTAGTTTGTAACTTTGAAGATTGGATGGTTAGTGAAAATGAATTGAATGAGGTTGTAGGAATTAGTCAGGATTTTAATTGGCTAGTTTCGAATTAAGAAATTTAAGAGGAATTTATATGAAATGTGGTCATTTTAGGTTCCATTGAGGCTCCTAGGATCAATTTGGAGCAAGGTGTGTTGAGCTATTTGTGAGTGTAGCAAGGAGGCATTAATGGTGAGTAAATTGCATTTAAACTACTTTGTTATGTAAATATGCATAAACTATGTTTTACATGCTCATTAGAATCCATGTTTCAATGTTGAGTTCCAAATTGAATTTGTGATGAAATTGTCCATTAAATGTGTTTTGGTATTATTGTGTGTGTGTGTATACACACGCATACTATTATGGTAATTGAAAATGCATAGAGAACAAGCCTTTTTAAGGATTTCTTCTTCAAAATGATGTTTGTAGAAATAGAATGTGGCTATACTTGACATGGTTTCGATAAAAAACAAGTGCAAGAGCAATGCTCATTATCTATGTGTGCAACCATAAAGTAAGGTTTGCTATTGATGACAATAAACCCTTGTTGATGATATGGGGTAAAGGTGCATTATTGATGCTTATATTGTGAAGGTGAATGCTTTCACTCTAATAGTTGTGTTATAAGCATAATAAAGCTTCTTTTGTTAAAACTGTAGCTAGCAACAATAAACACTAGTTGTTGTGCACAATACTTGTTATTCTTACCCAACAGAAGCCATGGTGCTAGACATGTGTGCTTGATGAGACACTTGCTTGTTATCTCTATCTAGCAAGGGCTATGATGGTGGACATTTGTGCTAGAGTAAGACACATGCTTGGACCTAGCTAGGAAGGTTTGGTGCTAGACATGTGCGCTCAATGAGACACATGCTCGTTATCCCTATCTAGCAAGAGTTATAGTGCTGCACATGTATGTTGAAGCAAGACACATGCTTAAGCTTAGCTAACAAGGTTTGGTGCTAGACATATGTGGTGGGGATGAGACATATGCTTGATGCCTATCTAGTAAGGCTTTATGCCAAACATGTGTGGAGAGTAAGACACATGCTTGATGCCTTAAGAATTGAGGGTTATGACATTACTCCACTGGTCAAAAGACTTTTGGCTTAAACTTGGTTTTTAAATGAGAGCTTCATTTAGGCAACACTTTGATTGATTCTTAAAATGGTGCTTGGTTAAGCTGTTTGTGGGTTTGGATTGTGATCTTTCTTTTGAGATGTAACAAGATTGAATATTTGATGGAATGAGCTTTTGAGATAAAATTATGATGGTCGAATATGGATACCCTTTTGTTGGGCCAAAGTTAGAGTTCAAAAGAACTCAAAAATTGCATTATGGTTAACAGGGATCTAACCTTGAAACTCAAAAGGTCAATTGTTGTCATCTAAAAGTTATTGAGTGCTTTCTAGCCATGAAGGATCAACCTCGAAATAGAAAAACTTGATCCCTAGCATCCAATAACTGTATAAAGGCTTTCTGGCCATGAGGGATCAACCCTTAAGAATAAAAAAGGTTGACCCTCGAAAGATAGAACCTATAGAAATGTTTATGTGTGCTAATGATCAACCCCTAAGGTATGAAAGGTCGATCCCTTTATACCATAATTGAGTTATGCTTTCCTATTGAGTGTTTTTCAAAAGCCATTGGTTGGTACCTTTCTCCAACTTCTAAGGGAGTTTTCATATATGTATAAGTTTGCTTAGTTAATGCACAACACATTGTTCATTCATGATTTGAATGGGATTTGTCTTTGAAAACAAATTTTTAAGGTTTGCAAATAAAGGCAATGTATTATTAACAAATCATACTTAACTTGTTCCCTTACATTATTCACTCACTAAGTTATACTCACATTTTTAAATCTCTTGCTTCTGGTTTTTAGATACTTGACTTAGCTTGGATTTCCATTCAAGAAAGATTGTCAAGTCTTTTTTGATAGGTATGCTTAACAATCGACTATGAAGCCTACTTGTGTCATGTTATGCTCTACTAACGGGTTTATTTTGGTTATGTAACTATGGTGTTAGTTTACACTTTTACCTTTTAGCCAAGAATGGCAACATACTTGATATTACATATGTATAGTCATGTATATGTATATGTATATGTATATGTATATGTATGGCATGTGGTTTAGTGCGATGGCTTAATGGCCCACATGAGCACACAAGTTGTGCAAAATGTATGACATCATAACTTGATATATATGTAAAAGCCAATATGAGCCCGATGCTTTATTGATGAATGAGAGTACATCTATGCAATTGTAGTTGAAGTTTACGGACATTCGAGTGTACTTATGATTGTACCATGTAGTGGTGTACTTGTCGAGTGTGAAGCTTGCTTGGGTCAAGGGGACTTCTCTTCTTGGTCCTCGCACTGTTCATGGTACGGGATTGGGTCATAACAATTGACTTAGTCAAAATACCACTTATTATTTTATGTCATACAATCTTGATGTGGTATAATGACATGTTCATGTTGTATCTTTTACTCTGCATATCAACACACACGTCAACATTACATGGATATAAGATGATAAGTGATATTTTGACTAATAAAAATTAATCAATCTTTAATCATAAAGGTTTGTTTGACCCAAAATGAAAGTACAAGGCTTAATTGAACATAATAAAAAAATAAATAACTTATTTAAATTTTTTTACATAATTTAGAAACTATATAAAATTCTAATTTGAATCATGCCTCTTGCTTGAGGTGTCAATTTTAAAATTCCTTAGTTTTTTGATACATATCTATATTACCTTATCAAAAAAGGGTCCAAAAAAAAATAGATAATTGGATTCAAACCCATAAGCATCCACGTAGAATTGAAACCTATTGTACGCCTTTAGGTTTTTTCTTTTTCAGATAAAAGAAAACTCGGAGAAAAATAAAAAAACTCTATAAGAGAAAAGAGAGGCTAAAACTTTGGGAACAGAATTTTACAAATTTGAGATTAATTAGGTAAGATTAGTTTTATAATCTTTTAGACTTTCTGTGAGGTATTATGGACACTTGCACCAACTACCAAGGTATATCTGTTTTAATTTGAATTATCTCACAATTTTGTTTATAAAAATCTCCTCGTTAAGTGTAAGTTTAAATCTGTATTATATATATCATAGTAGATTCGCACAAATTTAGTAATGTAGAGTTTGTGGTCATTACATTGTTAACTTTTATACTCTTTCTTTTCTTATGTAACTTTTATGTAACTTTTGAATTAGTAGCTCATCATTAAATTAATTTCTCGAATAATTGTATGGAATGTAAAGGAGTGAAATATAAAGGGTTAAGTCCAATATATATTGCACCTCAGAGCAAAGATGAGATCAAAAGCAAAGTGAAAATATAAAAGGGTAAGTGTTCATAAAGCAATTTTTTCAAAAATCTAATTAGACTTGGTTTATTAGTTGCTAGCCCTGGTTAGGACGATGAGGTTAAAGATGAGTCTATACACATACATACATACATCCACATAGAAAGTGTTTTTTAGCCAAAAAAATATAGGAGTTGTTGTTTTTTCTCTTATATATCTCAGCTATGAAAAAAAATAGGAGTTGTAGTTTTTTCTCTTATATATACATCATTACCTTTTCACTATATGAATAGGTTGTACACTGAACGAAGAAGTTCTGTAGAAAGGAACTTCTTCTAAGGGTAATTATATGGATTAAAGTCAATCAATCTAATTAAATCACAATCCTTGGCTATGGTTACAACTTTCCTTGCTTGAGTTTCTGCTAAAATACTGTTCACATGATTATTTGGCTGTTAATTCCTCCCGTTCTGTTAACTGCCGATGCATGCTTGTGTTTGTCCGGCGTTCTTTTTCAAGTGATGCCCATGTTGTGTTGCAGCTGAGCAGCTTTCATTTCTGCTCCTGGTTTGTTCTCATCTGCTGCTGCTATCCTGTTTCTAATAGCTTCTGTTCTTGTTCTCGCGCTGTGTTTGTTGTACTTTACTTGTATATGCCGACGTTGGTTCTGTTGCTTCTACAATAACAAAATATATAATTCATAAATAACTGTCATTTTAGCGATCTCGAAGGATTGTTTAAAAGCATGTCGGTAGTGGAGAAGAAGAAATTTGGATGCGATGTGAAATGCACAGATTGGAAGGATTACATCTTAAATGTGCATATTCCTGGTCTAAGGAGGCATATCCTGAAAGAGAAAGGCGTATCTAAGATGTAGATCACATCAAATAATTACCTATACCTGTGCT